GCTTGACAAAGCCCTGGCTGGGATGATTTAGTTGGGAATTGGTCCTGCTTTGAGCAGGGGGTTGGACTAGATGACCTCCTGAGGTCCCTTCCAACCCTGATATTCTATGATTCTATGAAAGCGACTCCTTGGGCACCTGGTCAACTGCCAGGGACTAGAAACTCACAACAAAGGCCAGCGCCAGGAGGTTGCCACAGGCTACAGAAGAAAGGATGCTTGGTTAGGCAGATACTGCCACCTTGTGGGCCAAACTGGGAACAGGCACCAGTCAGCCAACCTGCTTTATGATGGGTTTATTACAGCAGATTTAATTCTGGGCAGGGACCCTGGAGGGTTTCCCGAGGAGCGAGGCATCCACAGAGAAAATTATCAGCTGTTGGGGTGGACACTAGTTCCCCAACCTCTTTCTTCCCCGACCCACAGGATCCACCTGGAACGCTTGTCCTGTTGGCTTCTTTGGGCAACCGTTGCTATTTCAGAGCAACTCACCTGTCATCTCTAGCTGACCAACACACACAGACACCTGAGGCTGGAGGCTCCAAGAGGCAGGAAGCAAGTGCTTGACAATCCAATGGGACCTAATACAAAGGCTCAGTTGTGCTGTTGGCCTGGCATATTCCATGCGCAAGGAGCCCGGTTTTCAAATCCTGTGCTCACATCAACAGGGGGTCTCTAACGTGAGGATTTCAACACCAGCGTGTAGATTTGAGCTCCCAAGAACAGAAATGGGGGGCCAGCGAGGAATGCAAACTGGACTCACAAGACCCAAGAGTGTCATTAAATGCATGGGTGCAGCACCCAGAGCCTTCTGCAGGAGTGACACCTGCAGGCAGAATTAACCCCCTCCGCCCCCATGTCCAATCCTCCTCTCGCTACAGCTGGTGTGATTGCCTTGTGTAATTGTCCATGTACCTGCATGGTGCTCATCACCTGTGCACTGAGCTACTTGGAACTAGAGCTCCCGGGGAGGGGGGAGAGGGGCGCGAAGAGCAACGTGTGTTGTGGTATAATGCACGTTCTGTGTTTGGCATGTTATGTGTAAATGCAGGATTCCAGCTCACGTGCCTCAGAGGGCACATCCACACTGCACGTTGCTTATGGCAGTGTGCAGAGGACACACAGTGCATGGTATAAATGGCCGTGTAGACAGTGTGGCACTGCTCAGGCAAGTAAAGACACAAGGCCTGAATCCTGTGGGTATGTCCCCTACACAGCTCTAGACAGGCCCGAGCAGCACCTCGGCCATCTACACACTGCTATTTTTAGCAGGGCCGCAGCCTCCCTGCTGCTGGGATCTTTCCCTGCTGCAGGGAAAGGCTCCATCGGCGGGGAAAGGCTCCGGCCGCAGGGAAAGGCTCCGGCCGCGGGGAAAGGCTCCGGCCGCGGGGAAAGGCTCCGGCCGCGGGGAAAGGCTCCGGCCGCGGGGAAAGGCTCCGGCCGCTCCTTGCTGCCAGAGCTCTTCACCACTGCCTCCCCGCAGCCATTGCCTTTCACTGTCACCTGTAGCTATGCACCGCAGCATAGACGCAGCCTGGCATGCTTGTACAGCGCATGCTGCAGCCTGTAGCTCGCATCTACACTATTTTTAGCCATGCTAGTGCAGATATGTCTACCTGTGCTGCAATCCCAGTGGAGACGCGCTCTTAGTGAACTCTTTAAACTCTACCCAGTTGTTACCATCGTGTGCACCTCCTGGAGGTTAGTGCTCTCTGGAAAGGTCAGTTGACCATCTTGCTGTCACCTGGGTTAAGTACACAAGAACCAGAGGAGAGCTCTGCTTTGTGGGCAATAAGCTTTTTTTTTCCTCCTCCTTTTTTTATTGAAAACAGTAAGACAGTGTTCAGACCCTGCTACCCACAATGCCAGTGGGCATGTTGAGCAAAATGACAGTGAACAAAAACTTCACCTTCAGTAGAAGAAAACCAACCCTTTATAGCAAGCCGCATAAATATTTACAACTCATCAGTTCTATATACAGTTCGTTCTATCATACAACTCGCTTCAAAACAGCTATGCACAATTTGGTTGTACAAAAGATAGATTTTTTTTCCCCCTTGTACAGGTCAAACAATAAATTGTCCTTTTATCTTTTTGTTTGTTTGTACAAATTAGAAAGTTGGTTACACTAACTTCAAACCTTTTTCTTTAAATAGTTTAATATAACCTCCATTTTTGATTGCACGATCAATAAAAATCATAGCAGGTAGCACAAAGACATAGGTCACCAAAATCTGACAGAGATTATGCGGACAGTTTTGTATGAAAAATGTCTTTCCTTTCAGCTAACACAGACAGTGCTCACCTTATATGGGAGTTGCGGTCAATGGAGTCTGAATTTGGCTGAATTGTGGTGAACCTGATTTACCAAAATCCAGCTTGTATGTTTAGTACATCCATGGATATATGCCAATACATCGATTCAGGCACATGTAAAAGCACGTGTGTGCGCACACCTACACACACATGCATATGGAGATCTATGTATATACACACACACACACACAGTCTAGGAGTGTACACACACACACACACACACACAGAATTTACAGTATCTGGGCACAAGTACCTGGTTTTGAAGGGACAGCCATTCCCGAATCCCTGTGTGGAATGTACACGTGGCTGTAGTCACAAACACTGGAGAAGACGCCAGTCCCTTGTATTCAAAGGCACCCGGGCAGGTGAGCAAGAACATGTTAGATAAACATCAGAAGTGACCAGCGTATTTACAACATGTCTCCTTAGCACTGCATCCCGGAAACCTAAAGCAACAGGCTCCTGGCCACACACCTCAGCATACTACTAGTGAGTAAAAACACCCCCCTGTCAGACTAATACCATCGAGCCAATGACATTGGGGAAAGTCTCTTAAAAGGGTCAGTCCCTTGAAAACCCAAAACCGAGCGGAGGGCTGAGGTGGGGTTACAGTTTTGAAATCTTAGTGTCTCTAAGTTCAATAGTTGCTTGTTCCAGCAGCTTTGTGCAAAAGACTGGCTCATGCTCAGCCCTGTAACACTGAAATACCAAGTACTGTAACTATAAGAAAAACACCAGTCCTCAGTGACACAGAATACACACTCTCAACATCCTGGGTCACCTATTTCTATTCCGGATCACTGAGCGAGAGAGGCTACCCTCCATTCTTTCCTGACAAAGTAGACAACATTGATGTAAGCGTCACTGATTGGACCTGAATAAATTTACACCGGGAGAAGAGTTTGCCTAAGATAAGCACAACAATCAAATGCATTTCGCACTCCGTGGTGGCAGCTCTATTCCAGTCACTGATATCAACCGGATAAAGAAAAACAGCCCAAGTTGGATAAATCTTAGTTCAGGTCTAACCCTACTCACTGTGTTTCTTTGGTCCCACATAGGCCAAATACCATGCGTATGGTACAGGATGTGATCCTGCCCCCGGGGAAGTCTGTGGAAGTTTTGCCACTAATTTCAATAGGAATACAATTTCTCACTTACTAAAAGAAAACATCCCTTTAAAGTATAGCTAAGCCCTATGCCCAGATCCTCAAAAGTATAGAGGCACCTAACTTCCATTGACACCAATGGCTAAATACCTGTGAGGATCTTGGCCTAGGATACCATGAACTGTGACTACTCCAAGCTTGTGTATGTTTCCCACCCCACCCCATTTTCAGCTTGGTTTGGGGCTATCTTTAGACTCAATGATGCTGGATCTGTCACATCAAGGACGCCCAGAGAAGTTCTAGGCACATGTGGCTATTGGAGGTTTGTTATTTCTGGCAACGCTACATGCTTTTGGGTTTGCCCTGGGTGTCTTCCAGCGGCACACGCTAGGGATATCTGCACAGGTGGGACGGCGATGACAGATGGTGCGTGATTTTGGGGGGGGACATTTTTTTCCAATGAAAATCATTCAACACCTACCATGAAGGCGTCTAGACAAACAAGGAGCCAGAACAATTCAGTCAGACTCTAGCCCAATCGGAAAGCTGCAAATCTGAGGTCAGGAGCTTTTAAAAAAGATCCTTCTGCCTTCTCCCAGTAACAATCCTAGCAAAGGCCATCAGTGAGTTCTGGGCACTGCCTGTCTGCATTCAGAGGCAGGGTGGGGATCCGTGGGGGCACTGAGGTGGTTTGATTTTTCCTGGTACTGTACACAGAGGAGTGGAACAGTATCTTACTAACAAGGTTTTCTTTGAGCATTTGACGCTGTGAAGAGGAGCCTGGGCTAGTTCCCAGCTCGGTCGTTTGTCATTGTTGAAAAAAAGAGCTGTCCAACTGCTCCATGTGGCAAAGCGGCAACGCCTGACAGCTTACTGCTTGAGAGTCCTGATTTCAACTGCCTGCGTGGAACGAGTCGGTGGATCTCTGTCCTCACCCCAGACCGCAGGAACCACGCCCTACCTGACAGCTGTGGGCAGACTCACAACCAAATGGGCCATCCTCACTCCCTAGAGCCGGTCCCTGCAGGCCAGGCCTGGGGGCCCCCTTGCAGAGCAGAGCGGGGAACGGGCACTGGGCTGTTCCTGTTCTGCAGCTAGGGGATTTCATGCTCCAGAGCACCTCTCCCCAGAGCTACTCGCAGAAGGAAATACTTTTAGCCTGAAGAGAACTACAGAGGCTTGAACCTCTTGGCTGCTACAGACCCACCCACCATTCCTGGGTAGCTCACCTTGGGCCTCTGGCTGTCACTCCTTCCAGTGAGTGCATGTGCCTAAAGCCCAGGTGACCACTTCCACGCCCCTTAGCAAAGGCAAGGCACCACAGAAGCCACAGGATGACGTCCATCCAGCCATATAAGATGAGCACTGCTGCACAGAACCCAAACGGACGAAGAGTCTCAGCAATATCTAAAGAGGTTTGGATTTAACAGACGACCTTTGCCGAGCGGTTTTGGAGGTTCTCTCTTTTTCAGTAATCCCAGGCCTGTCCTCATTAAACGCAGCGAGCTCCCCACTTCGACAGGGACGTACCAGGTGGTTCCACTCATCACTTGGGATGCAGTAAGTGCCGGGAAGAAAAGAGACCAATCGTTCAAGATTTACCAGTCAATTAAGGCTTTGAAAGACTCACTCTGCTCCCAAGGTATTCGACTTCTGGGGCTAAAACCCTCTACGCTGCAAACGTCCGGAAGGAAACAGTGGCCAGCGCTGAACAAGGAGACCCTCCCCCCTGCTCCTCTGCCCGAAACCCTCCCTTGGGTATAAAATAAGCAATGGGGCAGCTGAGGGGCTGCAGAGACAAACAGCTGCGGCTGCCCTGGACATCAAAAGGATTTCCAAGGCTCCTCCCTCCCCGTTAGATATTCCCCCCTCTGACGTAACAGGACTTTCTACATCACAGTGACGTTCACCCAGCCCAGGTTGCCAAGTATAACGGGCGTCATCAGACAGCAACGCACGTTTGTATGGCTCTTTGCCAAGTTATATTTTAACCCTGCACTTTGCAGGTGTTTCCTTTTCTTCCTGTCGGTGGGGGATGCCCAAGGGTCTAACCCCAAACCGTCCATGCTGATGTCCAAGGGTTTTCACTTTGACTAGGAGAGTCTAGGGCGAGGCCTTGCTGAGCATGAATGGGGCGGGGGGATGGGAAGGAGGGAAGTGGAACGGCTCTAGACAGGTGTTTGTTATCATTTGTGCTACATCAGCACATCTGGCATGGGGGGGTGGGGAGGCTATGTCAGCAAACCCAAGCTAGTTGGGCTGGGAATTTCAAAGGAGCTTAAAGGGGTTAAGGTTCCCAAGCTTCCCCTGAAGGTCAATGATAGACAGGTGCCTAACTCCCTTCGGCCCCCTGTAAAACTTCCAGCCTAAATTCTGGAAGAGTCTCACTTATCCGACACGTTCTGATGGCCACCTTCAGGGACCAGCCCATTGCGGAAGAGAATCCCAGCCCCTCCTCCCAGCTCAGCTCTAGTTTTCACGCAGAATGCCACTCCCTCTGCACCACCCAGCCAGATTCCCCACGAGACGCGGGAAATGCACACACATCCAGCTCGCACTGCTGGGCTCTAGGCACTTATCCTGCTAAGCAAAGACCGGATGACAACCCCTCCGACGTCTGAGACCAGCTTTCTCTGTCCATTAGCACAGGCTACTCGGGTTTATTTCCTCTTGCTGTCACCTACTGCAGGTACTGCTGAGGTCTAGTCTAAGGGACAAAGCTCGGATCCCTCATGCCAACAGAAAAAAGCTACATTGAAAGGTCTCCGTCTCTAGAGCTGGCTGAAAACTGGCAATGTTTTTTGTAACAAATCACATTTTTTTCTCTTCCAGCACCAGTCAAAAACGGGATGGATTTCCGGCAAACATTTCGGTGAAAAGCGCGTCCATGTCTCATTAAAAAATTGCCAACGTTTTTGGCAAGACACTGCAGCTGACCTCACTATTACTACAGCGCTAGGCTGTTCTGACAGTGTAATTGTTTTTTTAAAAGGGCTATCGGGGGGAAAAGATGGGGTGAATTTGAACTTCACCCAGCAGAACCCACGACTTGTTTGTAAAATATTATACCCAAAACGTCAGCTGTCAACTTTTTGCTTCTGAGCTATGCCACACCAGCGGCTACACCTGGGGAACATAAACACTTCCAAATATTTTGCGCGTTTAAAAAACAAACAAAAAAACGCAACAGAAAAGACTCAAACGTCTGCGAATGTTAAAAACCTGCACATTGTAAAAACACCCCAACCAACCACCACATACAATCTTTCTTTTGCTTTGAAATTAGAATCACCCTTGGGACAGTGTCAGGAAAAAACCCCATTGATAGTGTGACAATGTGAACCTTTTTCTTCAATATACTCCTAGCAGATCAGAGATATTCTGTAACACAGCAGTTGTCTGTTCCAACAGGCAATGGGAGAGGCAGAAAGTCTATGTCCTGGTCTTCTTTCCTCTAGCGTGCAGAATGCAAAGCATTTAATACATCATCTTTCCCCCCCCCAAATCCCCAGAGTGAGAAAGCAGAAGTGAAGGAAAAACAAAAGTCTAATATTTTGTTCTTGAACCGTGTAACTGCAAAGATGATCCAACATCATGGAATGAAAAATAATATAAAGCAGAGCGTCCATGTGCATCAGAAAAATACAATACAAACGTTTTAAGTTTCTCACGAATCCCCTCCCACTGCAAACAAAAACCTTGACAAGGTCTTCGGAAAGGCTCCCTTGAGATCTCCGTGCCAGAGAGAAAAGCTCTGTAAGGAGAAGAAAATTCCGCTTGGCTTAAGAGCAGTAGATGTAATAATGAGGAGGCCCTGCAGTTGTGGCAACATTTTTTTTTTAAACTAAGTTAATACATTCTACTGACGTACAGACAACTGTGATGGATCAACGAGACCTTTTTTACATTTCCATACAATGGACAAACTCGTCAAATCTTGCACGCAATAACAGAACCTCTTTTCCAGGAGCCGAGACTGAAAGCAGCACGTAACACTGTTTTAAGTCCTTCCTCACGTCAAACATCTTGACATAATTCACTGAAGGTATCAAAAATATACCCTGTAGACCAATACATCATTTACAATTGCTTTTTCTCACCATTCAGGAAACAATGCACTTCGAGCAATGGAGTCCCTTCAGCTGCGGATTAATGCACCACAATATGGGGAACTTCTTTTGATTACAAGATAAACCAAGGATTTCTCACTCAGAAGGACTTTTTTGTTGTTGTTAAATGGATCCTTAGTCTTCCCCCTCCCCGCCATAATTTTTATTTGTTTAAGCTTTTCCGGGGCCTGCTGGGGAAGTTAATCCCATGCAGGGGATGCCTGTAAAAGGAACATCCCAAGCAGCCCAAGAGGAACAAAATGGGGCCCTTTTGATTTTATAATTCAGTGGCGCAGCCTGTGGGCTGATAAATGCATGGAACAACCTGGAGGCTGGGGGAGGGCAGTCTAATCCTATTTCAAGTACTCGATAGCAGGCAACGCGGGTGTGCAGGCAGAGAATACACGCTATATGTGTGCCTAGGCGCACACACATATAGTATATGCACATGCACCCAAGCACGCTCGCTCTCCTCCCAACATGGGTTTCCTCGTTCTCACCGAATCTAAGGAGTAGAACTGGAGCACCAGCTGGTCTCCCCTGAGTAAACAACTGGGATTCAGTGAGCGATTGCATCCTTTGGAGCTTCCTCCCCCCTCCCATCAGCTGTTCACAGACTGTATCTCAAGCTCTCAGCTGCTGCGTGAGGACACCAGTGCTGGAAAGAGAACTAGGCTGGGTTCCAGCTGGCTGTCTTAAGGCTTTAGACTGAAGAGGATTCAGAAATTTCCTGATGTGAGAAATCGACCGATTGGAAAAGCGCTGCTCCGGCATCTTTGCTGACAGCGCCATGGACTGATATGGTCGGAGTTCACCTTGGCCAGCTCGTTACCCACGCGTGTCCACTCTTCTCCTCCCTCTCTTTCGTTCATTCACTGTCTGAGAGCGTTTCGTACTGGGAGCAGAGCAGGGGCTTGGGCTCCTCCTCCCAGGCGTGGTGCTGGCCAATGGAGTTCCCTTGTGGAATGGACGCTGGCGGCGGGGCTGTCACCACGCCGGTTGGAAGCCTCATTGTCAGTGGATTGTATGGAAATGGCGTGGAACCTGAATAGGGGCAGAAGGGAAGGAGAAACTCAGCATGGTGCAAAAGGCGGCCCAGGGTGGGGAATTCACTCACCAGCCCCCTAGTCAGTGTCAGAGAGGCCCCTTGCAATTCAGCACAACTGGCAGGGAAGGGAGGCCCAGGGATGGAAGAGCAGCAGGGCCTGTGGGGTCAAGAGTGAGATGGGGGTCTCCCCAGGTATAATAAGCAGTAACTTCCCTAAGGGGACGACTCAGCTGACGCTGACCCGGGTGTCTGTCTGGGGAGGCAATCTCACCCTCCCACCCCTGGCAGAGGGCAGAGCCAAAGCCCCAAGGGGGCAGCGCTGCGCTACCTGCAGACGAAGGCCTGTCCTCCCAGACTCGACTGGTTAGCGGTGTCCTCCTGTTACAGTCCCCCTCCGAATGAACGGAAGAAACAGACGGTGGTCTCTCTCCGGAGGACAGGCCTGGTGCTGGAGACTTGGCCTTGCGGCTGTTGGGTCTGGCAGCAATCTTTGGCTTCCCTCCTCCTCCTCCTGCAAAGAGAAGCACCCTGCTTTTCAAACTGATCGCTGGAGACACACGCCACACGGCCACGGCCACAAAAGCCACTCGTGATTTTGGGTGCCTGACTGGAGACGCCTTAAAGGAGGCTGATTTTCAAAGGGGCGGTGCTCAGCACCTCCTCAAGATCTGGCCCCTTTAAGGTGTCTCTGGATAAGTCCCCATTATCACTAGGAGCTTGATCTATGTCTCTTGCACGTTCAGAACGACAGGTGCTGCCTTCAGGTACCACTAGAGGTACAGGAAGCTTAGCATCCGCTAACCTTCACGGCAGATGTCTCAGCGGGGAATGGTACAGAACAGCGTTCTTGGCATTTCCCAGACAGAAATGGGCAGGTTTTCCCATGCTACAAGAGTGCACCGGTAGTCAGGGCGTTCTACCAGCAAACTCCTATTGACCCTTCGCTAAAAGGCCCAAGGACTTCAAGGCCCTCTGCTGGAACAAAGAAGCTACTGCAGCTGCAACGGACAGGCTCAACGGGCCAAATACTTCCCCGATTTATGCCCCAGCCCCTTGTCAGCTCCTTGTTGGACTCACCTACTACCATGAAGCAAGCTGCAGCAGCTTGTGTCCGGCCTGGGGGCTGTGCACTTGGATGCACTGAAGGGTCTGGCCCAAGGAGAGGGTTGGCTGATGAAGAGTGTCTGCCTGCTGGCCTGGCCTGGCCGCTTTTCTGTAAGGGACTGGGGAGCGCCTCATTGAACATCTAAAACCCAGTGCCAGGGGCCTTGAGTGACTCAGTAGGACAGGGACTGCGTGTGAGAAGGAACAGGCACCCACATGCTCCTCTTCCCTCTCTACAGACAGCCTGGATGCAGGGCCGTCCGGGAGCACAAAGGGGGAAGTTTGCTCTGCCCCCCCATGCCCATGGAATTTGAGTAGTACTATGACCTGGGGCCCAGGGTTACACCATCACTCACTCAACCCTCACCTGACCGCCCCTGTCCTGATAGAGGGACAGTCAGGCCAAACCTGAGTGGTGCTGTGACCTCATGCACCAGGCCGCAACGCCCAGAGCTGGGCCCAGCCCTGCAGGATGGGAGTCGCTGCTGTGGGATGAGTGTGGGGTCGGCTCGCTCTCCAACCCCCTCCCCCCCCCGCCCCTGAGTTCCCTTTTACTCCATAGTAATGGCTTTTGGAAGGATAGGGGCCTCACTTTCAGATTTTGTCCCAGGCTCTCAAAACCTGTGCATGGCCCTGCCTGAAGGGCTCTGTTCTGGTGAATTCCCAGTGGGGACAATGCCAGTGAAGGATAAGCAGCACAGCTCCCTGTTCTCCGTCCCCGCCTAGCCAGGGACGAAGTGTAACTCAATGCTTCTGGAACTAAAGCATCATGTTAACCCATGTGGATGGCAAATCAATTGGTATTTGGGGAATGACGGACTCCCCACCCCCTGCCCACATTTCTGATTCTACCCTCCTCCGTGTGTCCTAGTGGCATGGGGAGATTCGTGGCAATGGCCGTTGCCAGAGCTGTACAATGGCCCAACCCTGAAGCCAGGGGCAATTCCTTGCATTTCACCTGCTGCACAGGCTTGCAAGCCATGTTCTCACATCCTGGGATGCCCGATTCGTGGCATGGGGCGAGAGGAACAGTGGGTCTATGTCTTCTGGCCTCAGCAGGGCTCCCCACTCCAGGTTTCCGAGGGTTCTGCCTTATCCCACCATTCTCAGCTGCCTTGAGGCTTCCCTCCCATTCCAAATGCCTCCCTCTGTTGTCCCCTGACACGGCATCTCTCCCCAGCCACGTCTGTTTTGGGGGCTGCCGTTCGCACCGCTCCACCAGCGAGCCAGGCTGTCTTCCAGAGCAGAGCGACAGAGCCAGCGCCAGGCCTTCGCAGCGGCTGAACGGTGGGCAGGCAACACTGACAGCTAAAGAAATGCCTGGAGCCGATCTACAACCGTGGTTAACCATCAACCCAGCCGAGGGCGGGTGAAGACTCCCCCTGACAGGTACATGGGAGTTAACCACGAGCCCTTCTGCCATCCAAATGAGGTCATTTCCCCTGGCACTGTGGGGATCACACAGCCCTGCCCCTGGAGCTAGGGACACCTGGGCTGGAGGGGAATGGAAAACTTTGTGCTTCTCTACCTCCAGTGCCATAAACGTCCCTTCCCTGATTCCCGCACTGGGGTGTGTGTGTTTTAAAGGACTATTTTTATTCAGGGGGCACATATCTACCGAGAGGAGCATGGATTTCTCACTGGGTGAATCTCTCTTTTGGGGCCATACAATCTCAGGCCCTGATTCAGCAAAGCACTAAAGGACTTGATTTCAATCAAGTGCTTTAACTGAAGCAGAGGACGCCTTAAGCAAATTTAAATGCTTTGCTCAGCAGGGAGGCTTAAAGGCCTTGCTGAATCAGGATCCTCGCTGGGGCTTGGGATTTGTTTGAAATGCACATTTCTCTGCAGTGTCTTTCCATTGAGGGTTGTTTTTTTTTTAAATAAACCTTGACATCATAAGAAGAAAAGGAGATTAAACAAGGAAAAGAGCCCGGTCAGTGTTTTAGAGAAAAAGCAACAGCCCCTTTCAGGCTACGACACGAACGTAAAAGATTCCAGGATTAATCAGCAAATTCACAAAGCTCGAAGGGAAAACACAAAACAAAGAGGATAAAAAAAAAAAAGAATGAACAACACTGAGAAACGGCGAAGGTGGAAAGGGCTGCAGACCTGGCAAGGAGCGCGTGTCGTCATTCCGTCCGTCAGCAGCGGTTATGGGCATAGCAGCGGGCACGCTTGCACTGGCATTCAGAGAGTTAAAAGCATTGGCATTGGCACTGAGAGGCGAGCGCTCTTCCCACTGCTCGTCATATTTACCCATTAGGGCCTTCCTAATTATTGCCTCCAACCCCATGTTGGTACTGGAATTTTCTTGAACCGACTGGCTTCTACAACTGATTAGCCCTGGGAGATACGGAAAGGGGAAGGAGAGGTGAGGGGTGGGAGATGGGTTGGGGGGAAACCAAATAAGAAGAAAGATGGGGTGGGGGAGAAAGGAGACAAGGGAGAAGGGAAGAAACAAACAGTCAGCACATTCTTGCAAAGCAACAAAATTTGTCATATTGTTTTTAAGCTCTGCAGTGCACTCCGTCCCCCCGCCCCGCCCCAGGGCTTGGCAGGAGCTGGGGGGGTGGGGAGTTAGAAAACTACTTGCTGAGTGAGGAAGAATCTGGGGGTGGGAGTGATTTAAAAAAAAAGTAAATGGAGACCCCAATGCCTCAATAGCGGAGGAGTGACAGGCTGCAGGGCATGTATCCTGAGCTTGGCAGTGCCTCGTGGGCACACGGCCCAGCAACGACTGCTGGGGAATTGTCCTAGCTCTCCTGTGGAGTTGTTCTCTACTGGGTCTGGTGGTGGTGGTGGTGGTGGGGGGGCGGAGGCCAAGAGGAGAGAATCCTTCCCCGTGCTGATTAATTCCTTCCCAGCCCCCTGCACCATCTGTAGTCCGGACTCCACCGCCCACGGGGCCCAGACCCCCACATCTACAGGTCAAATGTCATTAGGAAACAGGATGCAGAAAACGCAGTGATGTGTCTGAGTGCTTGTGAGTCATCAGAAGCCATGCAGTTATGGTGCAGCGCCGCACAGGGACCGTAGGGCACTCGCTCAGCCATGGGACCATCATTCCCAATGCGTCGGTTACAGGAAACGAGCAAGGGCAAAACTTACAGAGTCAAAATACAGGCAAGAAAATAAAATGCCATGTTTCCTTAATCCCCACTTTGGTGCCTGCAGCCCCCTCTCCTGCCCGCACAGCAATTCTCCTTTCTCAATAGGAATGCTGCAGCCATGGTGCCCCCTCCTTGTATCTTATGCAGGGGGGCGTGCACTCCCCCTGCGAACGGGCAGCATCCCCGCCCAGCTCCCAGCACACACGCTCTGGGCTAGTGTCCCAAACACTCCCGAGGGTTTGCCCTTCTCCTTCGCTCAGCCCCGCAGAACAACCCTTAACCACAGACTTTTCCCTGCAACACTTCCCAGCTCATACCCGAGCTCTTGCTGACACAGACAAGGACACGCAATCCCCCCACCCCCAATGCTCCTAGCTCACAGCTAAAGGGATCCACCTGGTTCGGCTGCCGGCATTAGTCAGCTTAACCACTGTGCAGGGTCAAAAACTGGCTCTTTGGTCACCGCCTCCCTCCCCCAATACTAACTCTTACTGGGAAGCTTTTCTAAGGCAGATAACACCATTGCCAGCAGCCTCTGCCATGCAGATACCACAGAAACTTGGGGCTTACGGAGCTCTTGGATCAAACAAAAAAAGGTGGGAATGCCCAGTGGGCATGGGCCTAGCTCCCAGCATAGAGCGGGGTGGGGGGAGAACCCATGGCCGATGCCGGCCTTTCGACCGAACGGTGGGGTCTGGGGACAGTGCAGGTCCCTGGGAAGTTTAACCATTTCTAGGCATTCTGCAAAAAGACCAGTCCTGGCGTAAAGCCACTGAAGTTCATGTTCTTAGAGAAGGGACTCCGCTAGGAGGGCTGTAGGTTTTGGTTTGATACAGAAAGCAAACGAACAGGATACGCTAGCTCGGTCTGTCTGACTCATGAAGCGTGCTACATAGTGCTGCATGTGTATACAGCGCACTTCAGCTGAGGGGCGCAGAGTGCACTCCAGCTAAGAAGGAAGCCCCCCCAACTCCCTTGGGAAGCAGGCCCTGCTGTACCCATTGCACAGAAGGGGAAATGGAGGCCCTGTGAGGTGAAGCGACTTGCCAAGGTCACCCAGCAAGCCAGTGGCAGAGCTGGGACAAGCCCTGACTGCTGCTCCCCGTCCTATTCCAGCCCCTGTAACTCCGGTGCTGTTCTCGGCCCTATCAATGCCTAATCCCTTTTGGAAACGCTCTCCGTGGGGCCTCGATCAAATCCTGCAGCGTTTTCCACAGGTTATTTATACACTGTGTGGAAAAAGAAGCCTCTGGAGATGAAGGGCAGAGAGCAGCCCTGCTCCAGCAGCCTCTGACGTCTGAAAAGACACACATCTGAGCTGGGAAGGGCAAGTCTGTTACAGAAGCAGCTCAGGGGCTGCAAAGGAAACGGGAGCCTGCGCTCCCAGGGGCGGCCTGAGGAAAGACAGGCCGTCATTTGAGAAGCGGATTCCCCTCAGCTGCAGGGGGAGGATTCTGGGAACCCCCTGGAGCTGGTTTTTCTCTCAGTGGGGAGGGAAGAGGCCTCACTGTCCAGGGCTGCTGGGCTCCCCTGTTGCTATGCAGCGTAACAGGGACACTGGCACCAGCCTTGACTCCTCGTGTGGTGCTGGAGTGGGGAGGAGCAGCAGCTCCTGGCAGCTTGAATGTCTCCTTTAATGCTGAAGAGCTTGGAGACACAGAGAGAGAGAGAGACACACACACGCAGAGCTAGGAGTCATGGACTCGGCTCTTTGGAGCCCTGCAGTGCGCTCCTGTATGGAAGTACAGTCCCTCCACTTCCAGAACCACTGTCCTGCAGGAAGGGAGCAAAGGTCTTTTTCGCACAGGAGCTCATTGTCACTCAACGGCAAACGCCTGTGGGGCAGGTAGAACTTTAGGGCTCTGGGCCTGCGGCGATTCCTACGCTCTTCTTTCCCAAATAGAGCTCCTGGAGGTCAAAGGTGACTACTGCCTCTAAAAAGCCAAGGCTGTCCCCTCTCAGTAATAAGGTCGGACCTCTGTTCCCACGACAGCATCCCACAGGGAAATTTCTGCTGGCCCACCTGGGTGGATGCACTGTTGTCCTCCTCTGAACCTGGCCAGCCCCACTCACTCCTCATCCCCCGGGCAGGCTCGGCTCTCAACGGCAGAACTGTGTGCCATGCTCTGCAGAACCACAATGCCCCCGCAGCGTGTGGCGTGACCTTCTGGTCCTGCTCTGCTGAGTTGCCATCCTCCCTTCATTTAAGACTATCCGCAGCCATTCCCCATCAGGTCTCAGTCCTGGAGTTCTTGGGGCACTGCACTGTCCCTGTGCCTGTCATTTAGACAGGAAGCTCTTCAGGACACGGACGGTCTTTACTTTTGTGGCGCGTACAGCGCCTTGCACAATGCCAGGCCTAACCAAGTATTAACTTGGCACAGCATATGCAGCTGATATTGTTACTGATCTAGGCTTTAAGCCTGAAGGCCCCTTAGTTTCAGAGTAATGTTTTTTTGTACATATAGGAACCAACATCTGAGCCTGTCTTCTCTCTCTCTCCCCCACCCTCTGGGCTCAGATGGTCATTGCTTTGTCCGGCATGTGTCCCTTCAGCAAGTATTAACAAATCAGCGTGCCTGATGTAGTGTTCCCTGGATAAAACCTGGGACATCACCCCGCCCAACCAGCCACTCAATGGTTTAGACATGTGGGGACTTTCTGCTTTCAGCAAGACACATATCTGGGAAAATCAAACAAGAAATCTGCTAGGAACGGTGGGCAGCCTCTCCCGAGTTTTGGGCTAGGATTGTAGCGCCTGAATTCAGTTCAAGGACCTGAATTCTGCTGCCAACACCAGATGGGACCAGCATGATCATCTAGTCTGACCTCCCCGCCTAGCACATGCCAGAGAACCTCACCCACTAATCCCTGCATCCAGCCCATCACGTGTGGTTGAGCTAAAGCATACTGTTCCCTCTCCCTCTGATTCTAGCTCTAGTCTTCCCATTTGCCAGCTCACACTCCTACATGAACACTGGCTCTGTCACCTCACACCTCTTCACGGCGGCAGAGTCTGTCCCTTATGCTGCCGGCCCTCTGCCAATAAGAGTCCATTTAAAGATACTGCTTCCCTACAGCGTCCTCCCTGCTGGTGTCACATGGTTTCTTCCGAATCCAACAGATCCCAGGCCAAAGCCCTGCCAGATCTAAGTTTTTATGTCTCCTCAAATTCTGACAACCTGGAGGCTTTAGAAGGACTAGGCCTTTGTAGCCTGCAGCCCAACAGAGCAGCTTCCAAAGCAGGGAAGGGCCGTAGGCACATATTCTCCCGCCTCCAATCTTTCCCACCAGGAATATACTGTATCTTATTTCAATAAACGACACCGGAACCCGCAGAACCTCCTCTTCTCAGGCTGTGAATTCTGTGTGGCGTGTGGCAGAGTATGACATACGATAAAGATCTATCGGGACTGTTACCTGCTCCAGTAATTGCTGGCATGTTGAAAATCTCTGTCCCAGGCTGTCCAACATCTGGAGGAAGACAAAGAAGTCCCTCAGTATGAACTGCAGCGCACAACAGTTAACTCCTAGGGGATCTTTTCCTTCCTAACACTTCCTCAACCCCAGAGGATCATGGGACATGCAGTTTGAGTCCTGGCACCTACATTACGTTACCCACACTGACAAAATCCCAGGCCAAGTTCAAGTTGTGGGTGGTTGGGGCGAGGAATGATGGTTTGGGACTAGGAAGTATTATCTCGGTTTTTAAAGCAATGCTACCTCCAGACACGCAACTCCAAGATAATGAGCAAGCCCTGGCCATGCCAATCAACATCAGAGGTTCTCCAAGTATGGCCCATGGATCATCAGTGGCCTGACAGGCAAGGAGCGGCGGTTTGGGAAGTTGGATGCATGGGAGAACGCTGCTCTCACCAAGTGGACCAGAGATTGCA